ATATCTCCAAGGCAGCGTAATAGCCCAGAAGATTTTTGGTAAGCACCGTACGAAGTCGGGAAAACCGCTTGTGCGACACGCAAGATTTCCATACAAATGAAGCAAGAGCACGCAGCGAGCAATCCGCAGGCACGCCCCCCCCCATTTTTCTTTCTTACGTATCTCCGTTCTGAGGCCAACGTCGGAGGCCCATAATTTCGCATCGTGCCAGAGCCATGCAGCAGCCCATCCTATGAATGATTCATTCAGAAAGGACACGTTCCTCACACATTGCGCTCAGGAAATCTTGTACAAGACACCCGATTGCAAAAACATGTCGTTACATGTTATATTCTCAAGGAATAGCTCCGCTGCGAAGCACAGGCCACGGGGAATGATTCCGAATTATCCTGAACTGACGACAGGGGCCGCGCACGTTGGTAACATCCAACATGCACGGAGTCTGATCCGTAAACCTGAGCTGCAATTACAGGAATCTAGAACTGGAGCATGAAGCTGTTCAGGTAGCAAGAAGCTGGAATAGTTCTGCCCGCATAACGTATGCTGGTTCTCCAAGAAATAATTGCATTTTGGGCTTTGTTCATTGGAGAAGTAGAACTACGTTCTGGAATATGGACAAGCAGCCAGACAAAGCCTCGCGTGATATCTGCATCCTGCACCATCGAAGACGCATATTTCTTCACTGCACTCCTGCACTTACGGAAAAAAGCAGTCGACCATCAGAACACAAACAATTGGTTGCATGATGCCATACATGTTCACATGAGCAGCACGCTAAAAGTGCAGAACAGAAAGAAACTGAAAAAAGACAATCCATGGAATCTCCTTGTCCCATTGACATAGTGGAAGCAGACGAGTGATCAGACATCGCCTGAAGCTGACATGTAAGCAAAGGCAATCAGATCCTGGCAAGTGCAAGCTTCATGCACAAGAACAACGCCGCATTTCCATTCAGTTTCGCTGATACAAAATAAGCGTGTGAGCAGCACGAACACGTCACCGAGGCGCATCCACGTTTTCCCAGGAAGCCGAGTCATCATCGCTGAGCAGAATGGCATCATCATCCATGTCCTCAACATAGCGTGCAAACATCCTGGGACAATTCCTAGCAATTGCTTCATGCTCACATATGCTGTGCTTTGCAATGGCTTCATGGAATGCAAATGGCCTGAACCATGAAACAACTTCAGATAAAATGCAGACCAGAATCCTGAGGAACAGCATTCCTGGGAAAGCGGAAGAGAATGTACCAAGGATTCTCGTGGTATAGATTCTCCACCTGGGCAAGTCAGGAAAGTACATGTGCTTTCATGTAAAACATTATACTAGCTCTCTAAACCAAAAACAGAAGAACCTTTGGGGTGGAATTCTCCATGCTGCAATAATTGTTCTGGCAATAATCGTTCTACATTGAACCGTACTATGAAAATGCCGCAAGAGACCCAAGTTAAATTAAGGTTTTGAAGTCCCAATGGAAAAAATAGAAAACATTGTACGAAGCAATGCGAAACCTGTGAATAAAATCCTGTAGTATAATACCTTCTATTCACCCCGCACAGACCCGCAATATATTCCAAGCAACCCTGATGGCCGCCAAGACATTGATCCATAGTTCCGTCTCGCGAAAGGGACGAAGAGGATGACACTTCGCACATGGCATTCGCTCATCCAGATCCTGCAAAAGAACCAAACCAGAAATGCACATGCAGCTTACTCTGCAATGGATGCAACGCAGTGTTGTCAAGCAAAACAGGTCACAAATGAACATGTGAGATCATGTGAATTTTGAAACGCATGCCCGTCATGTGCAATCATCGCATTTGCAATCCAGTGGATCGTCTGCGGAGAGTTGGAGATCAATCTTCGCGGCGGATCCATACGGATTCTCTTGAAGAGCGCTGCAACCTTAATGTTGAGGTGCTATGTTGATTTTCATGTCACAAATCATGACAGAAAGCCAAGAGTAACAACGTGTCTGCATTCAAGCCAGAAGCTGCCATGCCAAACGTCTTGGTGTATGCGGCGCTGGCTGTCATGTTCCCATTGCCTGACCACCAGCGACCATCGAAATCTGCACACGTGTCGTTGGCTCTGCAGGCAAACCTGGAGCATCGAATGTGAAACATTGCGGCAAGCAGTACCGAGCATCCAATGAATGCACTACAAAAACTGAGAAAAAGACTCATAGTGCAAGTCCCGGTGATGGCTCAAGGCCTCCAAACCTCTGAGAATAAACTCGTGCGTGCCGCGCAGCTGCGTGGGCTTCCTTAGTCAGAAAAGAACAAGCATGTAATGGCTTTACAGATTCGGCAATTGCTGGCAATTTACAGATTTGCAGCCTTGATTCAGTGATCGTGCTGCGAAACAGCCCATTCTGATCCTGACCTTGAGAAAGGAGAAAGCGTCCACGCATGCCTCGAATAATCATGATCTCCAGCCAAGTCAATGTGAGAAATACTAAACAGTCCAAAAAGTTTCGAACATATGCATTCAGGATACAGCCACATGTCCATACTCAAATAACTTGGAGGAGCTCGGTTGCTCGGTGATGGTGAAGACAGAGTTGTTGTAGGCAAACGTGATCAAGTCGGCATAGAAATCCTTGATTACTAGATGCCAGACAGATCACATTCTTTTTCAACTCCCGTTGCACACACATCGCAGTCAATCCATGCTCAATGCAAACAAACTACGGCAGCAGCATTGGCCTCTCTAACACTCGCCAAGCTTGTGTCCCCTTCCGCACACAAATGCCGCTTCCTGAGACAAGACATGACAATGCAAATACCAATCCATGAAAGATAGCAGTGCCAAAGTACCATGAAAATTCTGCATGCAAGTGGCGTGGTGCCGAAGCAAGCACTTACCCACGGACCACACGCAGGAGCAAGCCACGCCAATCCATTCTTGCGAACACGAGCAAGGAGTCGGATGCCTCAAGAACAAATCTATATGTCTGCAAACATAGACTGCATAGTCTAAAAGCTCGGCTTTGCAATAAACATGCTTCCGTCAAATCTCTTTTGCAAACCAAGTACAGTTCATCCTGCCATCCTTCGTGTCCGTGTTCTGGTGCGGCCCATGAACCTTGTCGAAGGCCACTCCATGGAATCCCACCTGAAATACATAGAACACGTCAGAAGATGATAGTATGCAAGTACCAAACATAATATGCTGATGCCAGTGACTTCTTCAGTGCGGACAAATCACTGCACCCAGCTGATTCGTCAGTTCGCCACGGCCAGAATAAATCTCGACGAAATCAAGATTGCGATCTCTGGCTGCAAACAAAACTTCATCATAAAGCCCTGGAAGAGCTTCCAAAGCCAAGGCAGCAAACGCAGGCGAGCATCCAGTAAGAAGAGATGCCATGGCAGCAAGAACGTGAAAACACGAGGCGGCAATTGAAAACTTGGGCAGAAAGCACGGCAGCAACACCAAAGCCAAGCAGCACGCAAAAATGAAGGGGAAGGCATTTCCAAGCAGACCGACAATGGAAAGTCATGAATCATGCGTTTTTCGTCGTGGCAATATGGTTGTTTCCATAACTAGGGGGACCCAAATATAGACCCCAATATACTATAATCCTTATTATAGGGACCCCCGAAAAAAGTATCCCTAAATTTTGGAAGCTCCCAAATCCTAAACCCTCAACCTTATACATCCTAAGCCCTAAATCCTAAAGAAGCTAGCAACCGAATTGGGGTTTGAGCAGAGCTCCCACCATGCTGCTGTCACAGGTAAATGGAAGTTTCCCACAAGTCAAGGTGTACCTTTTCTTGGCCACCATCATGAAAACAGTATCCTGTCTATATTGGGGCCCCTCTATTTAGGGAAACTGCCGGTTATTGCTGACATTCGCCGCTGACGACACGACAGCGGAAGTACGGGCACTAAAATTCACCGGCTACTTGAACCCTTCAGGTTACGTAGGGCTCTAGCCCGCTTCGGGCAGCGGAAGAAAGTGGTGCCTTCTGATGTATCAGAAAATACCTCTGGGTTCCCGCTGCCAATGTCGCTATGCTTCCCCCCAAGATTCCCCTTAAGCAGCGTCATGTACAATTACGACTAATTCAGGCTAATCAAGGATGGGACCAGCGGCGTGTAGTTTAGGGTGAGTAGTAGGGGCACTCTTGAATAACTAGGGGTTACATATAAGTATGCTAGCGGTGACAAGCTTGCACTTAACCCAATTCATCACCAGGTACTATCCTCTAGTCTTTCATGACCACCCCCTTTCAGCCCGCATGACTCAAATAGCATTCCCAGTAAAAAAGCCAAGGGCACCATCTGGGACGAAGGTGTCTAAGGCCATGGCAAACCTTCAGAATTGGAGCCATAGATCTAGGGTTTAGGGAGCATGGCCCAGGGTCTAGGGTTCAAGGCTTACAGTTCGGTTTAGGGAGTTAGGGGCTTGGGCTTCGGGTTCTGAGCACCTTAGCCCAACCCATACTAGAAGATAATACCAATGCTAGGGCAGATGGTGGTTACATTAGAAGCTTCTTTACCCTAGGGCCATACACATAATCAACAGGTTCGGACATGGTGTCTATACAGAGTACCTTTCTGGGTCATGGAGTTGCAAGTTGACTTCATCACTATGCGCGCTGGTGCTTATGTGTGCTTATACCTGGATACCCAATGTATGGAATGATGGCCTTTCAGGTATGCTCAGGGGCCATGAATTTATCACCTCCCACTACTCTTACAACCACCTAATATGACTAGAATCCAGAAGAGCACTCTTAAAATGGGAGAACTTGTAAACGAAGCCGCCTGATTTATAACAAATTTGGGGGGTTCTGAGGTCATTAGCGGTTATAATAAAGAACTGCATGAGATTAGGGATCCGCTTGATTTCCTCGATGTAGGTACTGTTTGTAGACTTTAGGGCCCACTGAAGGTAATATCTATCAACTTAGAGGCCCAGCATAACCGAGATGTGGAGCTTCTTAAAACCTGCATACAAAAGAGAAAGCAATTGGATTCGGATCAGGCAACATAGACTTCATGAATGCCAGGGCATCGATTGGTTCACATGCACAGACTAGTTATGCCAGATCCCATCGCACCACTCTGGAACTATATAATCCTAAACACTACGCCCTGGCGTCTAGCCGGGCCTGCCAAAGGTTCGATGCTATGCAGGGCACTAAAACACTGAACATTTCCATACAAAATGCGTGTAGAAGAGCCCGAAATTGGCTTTTCGCCAGGTCGTTTTTCTGAAGAAAAAAGCGCCCCAACACAAAACCGCTTCACGGACGCTACACCTTTGGGGAACCTGAAGGACTGCGCGTGGTAAGGGGCTGCGTGCTCTCTGACCGGACTGGCGAAGCCATAAGTTTCAGGAGGATTTTACATGTTGAGAGGCCATTGCTCGGGCATGGATGCTCTGGTGACCGTATGCTCTTGGAACACGAATGGAATCATGGTTTGAGCGCGGATGCTCTGGTGACCGTATGCTCTTGGAAAACGAATGGAATCATGGTTTGAGCATGGATGCTCTGGTGACACGAACGGAGTTAGGGTTTGGGCATGGATGCTCTGGTGACACGAACGCAATTGGGGTTTGGGCAGGGCTCTCTGAAATGGGAGGACCGCAAGCGTGACATGGCTGGGGACTACATTGAGCAGAGAGCAGTCTGCAGATGCGGAGCGCGCGCACAATTCTGTGCGTTTTGTGGCAGATCTGACCATGGTCCAACTTCGGCTAGACAGCTGGTCGGAGGGCCAAACCCTGAACCCTCAACCCGAGGATGCACATGTGGACCGTCTGGGGATGGAGGCCACAAAACCTCACATCTGCCCAGCCCGTAGATCTTGCCACCCTTCACCCTAGAGAGTCATGTTATAATACTGGTAATGGCACTGGCCCCGGTGGTGGAAGTCGAGGAGTATGAGTAGGAGTGGTAATAGAAGAGATAGAAGTAACAGAATTTTGAAGCCTCAACCTCAATTTACCATTGATGTGTCTTCAACCCTTATCTGGAAGCAACATGCTAAACGCCTAGGTAAGTGTATGAGTGCTTCCGGCTAAACCGTGATCAAATATGCTTTTTTGGATTGGGGGATGTGTCGGGTGTATGTTTCAGGGGTATGTTTCGGGGTATGTTTCGAGGTATGTATCGGAGGAGTCAAACATGTTCCTTCTCATGAATTCCTGACCCTCCAAGTATGGACAGAGCCTTATAGAGAGCAGGAGGCATCCGTTGCTCCATTGAGTACTTACTGACCACCAAAAGTCTTGCGGGAAATAAGCCTGCTTGTAGACACTTCGGGAAATGAGCGCTGTCTATTGCTCAAATTAGGTACTGTCAGAAGTTAATGCATTTACAGACTGTAAAGCGCAGAGTAAGCTTTTCATTACATATAGGTTTGAGCCCCAACATATGGTTTTAAATTCGAGGAGCTCGTCATCGATCAAGACCGCCGATTCAGTAAGTCGGCCGTTGGCATCTGGCGTGACGAAGGCCTCGCTTAGTCAGGGACCGGTTAGGGTTCGGGGTTTGAAACATCTATGAAGAAATGTTCTGAGAACCTGCCTGACCAAAACCTGTACTACAGATACTACTACCCAGGGCCCAAGTACTTCATTCTTATGGTGCCATTCAGAAACGTAGCGAAGTCTGTGATGTATCCCTCGCTCTGGGGAGGGGAGTTGGGGATCTCTAGTTGAGGTAGATGTCCTTCGATGAAGCGACTTAGGAAGTCGTCAAACTGTACACGCTAAGCCCCACTAGGAGGCAGGAAATGGCCCAGCAAAGCAGGCAACGTGCCAAAAACCCAAATGCTCTTCTCAGCAAAGCCGCAAAACCTGTTTGGTGTGTATTTGCAACCAAGGTCCGCACACGTACCTCCGAAATACTACCAAGCTGCTCCAACTCCAACCAAGAACTCGCAAAGGGGGCACTCTATGCTGAGAAACCCCCATCTTGCTAGTGAGTAGGTAGGAAGGAATGGAACATCAGAACTCGAACTAGTATAATAATCCTAGCCCCTACACATCCCCTGATAGGTCCCCTTCAACCTAACTTTCGTCCGTAGTTCACATAGTAGGGGCTACTGAAAGAATCCATTTCTCAATTCCATTACAACAGCTAAGCCATTTCAGAGCTTTGATGCCAACCTAAATTGCCTGAAACTCGGGTTAAGGGTTTAGGGGCTTAGGATTTAGGGTCAATGGTTTTAGGGATGCACGGTTTGGGGTGAAGGGTTTAGGGTTTAGGCTTTAGGGTTAAGGGATTAGGATTAAGGGTCCAGGGTTTGCATGCCCCCGTAAAGCCCACGTGTCCATTTTATTTTCTGTGTGCTTTCCCGTTTGATTCTCCGCTATTGGCTGTAATATGCGTAAATTCCATGTGCTTCTCCAATTTTTTCTCCACTATTATTGCGGGAATATCCCTAAACCCTATATGATCCCCAAATGACCCTGCATAAACCCATACCCTGACTAAGAACTAAGCAAGTTGATGCCGCTGAGGATCTTGGTCCAGGCCGTCCTTCTCATCCCCGTTGAAATCAGGCACGTTCACACCATGGCCAGCCCAGAACCACACAAACCTGGGTGGGGTTCTTAGTCAAAATACTATTGAAAGTTATGGCAACCATACTAATCGTGGGAATAGAAATACGATCTATACGAGTAACCTTCTTTGTAATCATTCTCGAATCTGTAGTAAGGCCAACTGGGGGGGGGTGTCTTGTATATAAGCCACCATTTAAGATGAGGTCGGGTGAGCCCTGAACCCTAGACTCTCAACCCTAAACCCTCAACTCTAAAGCCTACACCCTACACCCATACACCCTTCACCCTAGACCCCAAACCCTTGAACCTGAACATTATTTCATCAGGTTACGGTCTTGAAGGGCTTCTTGGAGGGTTCCGGTCTTGGGGCTTGCAATTTCACAGGGCTATGGCAGGGGCTTGGGGGTTTGGTGCTGACTTGGAGGTCCAAGGTAAATATCACCCAAGAATAACTCAAACCTATAATCCAAGTAGAGCTATATTGGGGAACTTAGCGGGCTTATATTTGGTTATAAGTACAGCTATGAGTGAGCTACAACAGCACTAAGTGAGTGATAACTACCCTGAACCGCCAAGTACGCGCTCATGCCAGCGAAACCTTTTTTTCAAACATGAGACCCCCACAAACAATATTGGCGTCATTCAAAGGTGGCGGTATGGCTGCTTACAGCTTGAAACATTAACATACTGGGCCGTAAGACATTTTCAATTTTCCATATTGTGGCGACTGGCTGAGAAAATGAGAATCAACTCCAGACGCATGCCTTACTTGTGACTAATTCAGAGGGGATAGAGGGATGGACCCTGTTGAATCACTATTCTTCTCCACGCCTTAATTCCCGACAAACCATCGCAAAGCCCGAGACCCTAGCTCCTGAATGATATCATAGCTTCCACTTTTTTCCGTGCCCTCATTGCCTACTTACTAGCCGCCAATAAGATACCTCTCCAAACCAACAGAGAAGGACGAAGTAGCCCTATCAAAGAAATGGCTACAAGTTGTTGAAACCACTGTGCTGGGTCCATAGCCCCCGAGTGGCGCAGAGCAAAACCTAACAAAAACAAAACAATCCCAGAGCTGAAGCCTGTAAGCTTGAACCTCTTCACTTAAAGTTTAGGGTTTAGGGTTCCCTGGAGCCCCAGGAGAAATTCTGATGTCACTTAGCTTTTAGCATTATAGACAGCAGAAATGATTTGTTCAGGGAACTTCCGGCTGAACCGTCAAGTCACCTGGGTCGCTGTTAAGGAACTTAAATCAGACTACCATAATGGGTATGTTTGTATATATATGCGTCCAGTAAATCTAGAAGGGTTTCCCCAATACAGTAACTTAAACTAACTTCCTTAACAGCGACCCATTCAGACACCCCTCTGTTAACATCTGGGGGACCAATCGCCTTCTTCGCATCGCTTCGCGACTTGCCGCATATGGCGCAGTACAAATGAACCTCAGATGGAGATAACCATACTTGTTTTGGCTGTATACGGTGTACATCTCCGCGCTCAGGCATCTTTCAATTAACGAGTTAACGAAGAATGATTATCCCTTCGGGAGTGTCGTGTGGACTTGAAAGTGAGAACGACTGTATCTTTTTTACCTCTCATCGCCGGGACCGTTTACCTTGAATCTGCGTTGGCGCATGCTGTTCCCATAATAATGACGGGGTGCGCAGCTGGGATAGGCGGGTATGCTCCCATGGATGATATAGCAGGTACTGAAACTGACACCCAGAACCCTGAAGCCATAAATGGTACTTTCCCAAAACAGGGGACCCTAATATGGACGCCACAATGCTACAATCCTTTCTACAGGGACTCCCAAAAAGGTACTCGAAATTCTGGGGAACCCTTCAACCCTATCCGCAACATCCTCCTATAAACCCCTCTAAAGGTACCCCTAATTTTGGGAACCCTAAACCCGGAGTTCCGCATGCAGCCAAACTGGGCCACCCTGCGTGTGGGAAAGCTGGGAGAGCCTGCGCCTGCCTGTCACGAAAACTGAACTAGGATTTAGGGATATAAGGTTTAGGGTTGAGGGGTTCAGGGGTTTAGGTTTTAGGGTCTAGGGTTTACGGGTTTAGAGTGTAGGGTTTAGGGCTCTATCCAAGCCCCTACATACACTACCACTCGCTTGGGGTACCTAGTCTACTAGCTTCTATACGCAAACCTAGGTCTCCTGAGAAAGGGATAGGGTAGAGGGGTCTGTATGTAGGACTAATCCCAAACCCTAAACCCCTAAGCCCTAAACCCTTAAACCCTAGGCCCAAGACCTCCAATAGGGTTTATTTGGGAAATGGGTTGGTCGTTAATCATTTCAGCCACCTTGATGAGGTGCCTAATCCCTTAGGGTGCTGGGACCAATCATTTCAACCACGTCAAATACGTTGGCCGGGTTGGAATGCTTGAGCTCAACCATTTCAACCTTTCTAAACCATTTCCAGATTCCAAACCCTGGGAGGGCGCAGATTAACCTTTTCAACCTGTTTCAATTGGTTGGAATGGCTTACCTGGGACGGATTTGAAAAAAATCCTAGCAGTGGAAATGGTTGACTTCAACGATTTCTGAACTGGTCGAATTCAATCACTTCAACCGTTGTAAGTCATTTCCAAATGCTGGCAGGGCGAAGACCAAGCTAACAGTTCCAGCCTGTTTGAAGTTTTTCATCTGTGCTTGGGAATGATCTGGAAACCCCTTCAAAAGGTTGAGCGACATTTCATTTGTTGTAAGCAGGTGGAAATACGAAAGAACCCCTCCTCACAAGGCAATTATTCCGTAACAAAATGGCGCCTTTCCATCCCATCCATCATGCGCCATGTAGTAACGGAAGAACCCCCCTTTGCAAGCCAATTTCCCCTCAACAAAATGGCGCCTTTCCATGCCATTAAACAAGCAAACGGTACTACGGAAGGACCTGTCGTTGCAAGCCAATTTTTTCGCAACAGAGTGGCACCCTTCCCTCACCAATCAAGCAAAAGGCGCCAGTTCGTTACGGAAGAACCTCTCGTGGCAAGCCAGTTTCTCCGTCACAATATGTCACCATTCCATGCCATCAATCAAGCAAAATTCCAACCAAGTGGTTGAAATGGTTGAAATGCGCACATAGAACCCCCTCCCCCAAGAAACGCATGGAAATACTTGAGCTACTTTGTCTAATTTGATCACTTGTTTTGATCAACCCTGTTTGGAGCCATCGAAGGGTTTTTAGATTGGGACCCCGATGATATTGGTAGTTTTTAGGTTCGTTTGCCTTATCATGTGGCTCGTTTATTTGGCGTTCATGAAATCACAACAGCCGTCTCCCCGATGATTACGGTGATCCTAGATCCGGAGGCGAAAGTGCAGAAGGGTCCAATTTGTGTTGCGATCTGGCTGGTTACCAATATGCATTCATTCGGCTCAAAGAATCGCATTCGCTAATCATACTTGTGGAGTGGGCTGGCTTCTTTAACGGAGCAAGAAAAACAATAAGGTGAATCCGATACATGAAAAATTCCCGTCTTTGTTCATATGTGCTGGTGGGGTGAGGTAGGTTATAAGTGTTATAAGCGGGGTTGTAAGTTGTAAGTGCCCTGTTCGGGGTTGGCCTGCACATAATCCCATTAAAAACCTTTCTACGAAGAAGCTCCGGGCCCTCCAAGTGCCTTGTCCGTTATGACGGTGATGTCATCCACGTTGGCGCGCCCTGCCATCCTCTGAAGCAGCCAAAGAAGCATTGAGTTTAGAGTGTATTGGACTTAGGGTCTGTAGGGTTGAGGGTGTAGGGTTTTGGGACCAAACAAACACTCAAAACGCAAATCGTCGTTCTCAAGACACGCACTTCCTGGGTCAGGGCCCTAATCTACAGCAAGAACATGAGCTATAGTCTAAACTCCTGTATCTCCCATAATACCCCTGTAACAGCTTCCTGTCTAATCCCCTATATAACCGCCTTTTAAGGAGTTTAGACTACAGTTCACATGTTGGAAAACAACTATTTTCACCTTTGCTGCCTGGCTACACAGGAAGATTCCAGGTTTTTTGAGTTCAGGGCTGGGATTTCAGGTTTAGGGGCGTTAAAGACTTAGGGTTTAGGGTTTAGGGTTAGGGGTTAGGGAGGAAAGAGCAAGAATGAGAGCGATCACAGCACCTCTGCATGTACGGGCTAGGTTTATAGCAGTATTGTATTCAGGTTTTCAGGATATAGGGGACCCCCAAAACAGTACCCCTAATTTTGGCAAACCACCAAGTAAAAAGCTTGGTTTAAGAACCCAAAGAATAAGGTTTTAGGGCCCAAATACTATAATAGTATTGGTATTTGGGCCCTAAAACCCTATCATTTGGGTCCTTGGACCCTTAGGGTGAGTGATGCTTTGATGCCACAGAAACAGACAGCGACTCTGTCAGAGGAGTCCCTAGACTATGGCTATACGTGGATCATATGTACAAGGGGATATTCTCGGCAAGTATCCAGGCTTCTACAGCAGGGGCGCCAAATCTAAAATATTACAGAGAGCCTGAGCCAACACACGTCATATAACAAATCGGATGATGAAGGTAAGCAGCAGGTTTGGCTCAGCTTCGATCTTTGAATCTTGGATAAATGCACGAACAACCCATCTTGAGCTGGAAACGCTAAGCCGCGTTGAGGCCGTCGAGCTGCATCAGCACTCAAGCACACACACATAAGGGCTCTGTTTCGCCGACCCCCTCTCCTTGAGATGACCTAGGTACATTGCAAGAAACGTTGGCGCACCTTTCAAGGGGTCGTGCCCGCAATTAATTGAGGGGGCATGTAGGGGCGACCTGATTTGGACACAGAGAAGACTGAACCTGAACTTTGAACACCCCCTAAAGTCCCAAACCGTGGACCCCAAAATGCCCTGAAGCGGCCTGTACATGGTCCGTGCATCCTTTGTGCACGTAAGCTCTGCAGAGGGCACGTAGTCATAGTCTAAAGCAATGATGAGCATACCTGCGAATTTCAGGTTCACGGGTTCAAGGTTTATGGGCTGGAGCGGGCTTGAAGTAACCCTTACTAATCCATGTGACATTCAACAAAATGTCTTACATCAACATGAACTTCACAATAAGCTAAAAAACAATGTGCCAGCTCATCAGCATAGACCCGATAAAAACACATATATTCCCCCTTAAGTAGATAGAATATGGCTTTGGGTATATTAAAATAACATCCCCATATACCTCATGTTCTATCTACTTAAGGGGGACTATATGTAAAAGCCCTAGCAGTTCAGGAGGACCCCAATCATCTGCTTCCAAACCCAATGCATCCCAAAGGTCCCTTGGGGCTTCCTATTTTGATAAACTGTTACCACAAATCCTTAGCCCCAAGCCCTAAACCCTTGGGCCAAAACCCAAAACCCTTAGCCCATAACCTAAACCCCTAACCCAAAACCCTAAACCCTTGACCCAAAACCCTAAAGAGACCAAGTCGGAGGTCTTACGCAAGAGAAGTTGAGGGCTCGAGTCCCCTTCGACTCTCTAAGCCCCAAGTATGTTACCATATGCATGTGTGTATATATATATACATATGTATATATATATATATAGGGCTTGGTGTTTCGGATAAATAAAATCTACGGAAAAATTACATACGCGTGGGGTCTTGGTATAACCCTAGACCCAGGCCCAGGACCTCCTATGTAGTTCCTTTGTTGGTAAGGACTTTAGTAGCCCTAGCCAAAGCTCTAGGGTTTAGGGGCCATATCAAACCCACAAGGGAGCTAATTACATGGAACTACATTGGAGCCCGTGGGCACGTATGGGACCTTTTGGGAAACGGAGAGAATTTTCCCAGCAAAGCTGCGACACCCGGGAGCCAAACCCAAGTGCTGGACATTGTCAGATGACTGCACCGCAGGCTGAAGTGCAAAACACTAGATTATACAGTGGTATATATAAGGACATACAGGTAGGTATTGGAATGTATAAGGGCGTATAGGGATACATAAGCATATTCAGGGATATGTGGGATTTGCCGGGGCCAACTTTGACGTAGACTCGATGGTCGGCATTCCTTTTCCTTGCATTTTGCACGGGCAGGGCTTAGTAGGGCAGGGGGCATTCCTTTGCCACTAAGCTGAGCCGTGTCACAACATGTACCCTCAAACCCTAAAGTCACGGAAAGTTGCCAGAAAGCTCTGCGCGCTTCTCCGAGAACTTTGAACTCTGAGATCCAAGCGCCGAATCTTGAAGCCCTGAGCCCGAATGAGCCCCAGAGCCTGAACCCTAAGCCTAGATCCTTCATAAGCCTTTGACCTACACCCTGAAACCCATAACCCTAAACTGGGTTGCTGTTAAGGCTTAAATTAAATTACCATAATCGGCGTGTAGGATGTATATATAACAATTAATGTGGTTCTCCCACTATAGTAACTTAAATCAAATTCCTTAAATCCCTATATCCACCCAGTTTTCCGTGCCATTTCCATGTTCCTTTCCATTTGATTCTCCATTACAGGGGGATAACGTAACTTAAACAAAGTTCCTCAACAGCAACCCTAGACCCTAAACCACAAAGAAGTTCGGCCCCAGCCACGGATTTTTCCTCCGGAGTCTCTCCAGGATTCCAGCTCGTAGTCGCCACACCAGTAGCAGAGGCCACCGTCTAAGTCGCACAGATGAGTAGTGTTTTTTGGGGTGGTTAAAGCTAGTAAGATTATATTCCTTATATAAGATACTATACCCCAAAAGGAGGATATAATCTTACTCTATATTGGGTACCATAGTATTCCCCAAATAAAATACTACTCAGATGATGGGTCCCCTACCTAGGGCTCCAGTTACCTAAATAATGGGTTCTAGGTTCCCTATACCCTATAGTTCCATAGCCCAGTAGCCTATTATTTAGGTAACTGGGAGCCCTAGGGTCTACTATAGCCTTAAGTAACCCTCATAATTATCACGAAGTAGCCCTTAGGGTTATTTTTCCAGGCTAAATTATGAGGAAACATGCGACAGTGTGGAACACATGTTCAATTCAGGCTTTCGGGCTTGCGGATGCAGTTTGAAAGTGGACCGGTATAGATTCAGGCTTGCAGAGGCTGCATGTGGGTCTGCTACAGAGTTTTCAGGCCATGTGCGTCTTCTAAACAAAGTCCCATGAAGCACAGACGGGTTCGGTGTGATCTAAATCCCAAACCCTGAACAGCGTGGCATCCTCAGGGACTTTGTTCGTTGGACTTTCAGGCTTCGCATGTGCCGTTTACCAAGCTCAGGGTGATGGTGAAGCTTGAAATACTTTAGGAGGACCCCCCACCCTCTAATAGCGGTACAATAGGAATTTGATAGGACCCTATAATATTATCTTTATTATCCCTCATAGTCACCATTACAAGGTGATCGGGTCCACCTAAGAAATACCCTTTGGACACCCCGTGCAAGTCCTGTCAAAACGAGTGCGAAGCTTATGTAATCTCAAAGAAAGGTTCATGATGCACACAGCCATCTACACTACTCCCTGCCTAGACCTCTCAAGTACCCTCAAGCGATATGGGTTACTGCCCAGGAACTGACTTACGTAGAATAAGTTACCGTGATAGGGAAGCCCGGTGACTTTCTGAAGATCCCTCTTATGGTAACTTGGTGTATGTTCCTGCGCAGGAGCCCAGCTTTACTCAAGGCTCCGAAAGCTAAATCCCTAAGCCCGTTGACCTTGACCCGCAAACCTCACATGCTAAGCCTTAAAACCTTAAACCAAGAGAAATGCCAAGCCCGAAGCCCCAAGCCCTACTACAGGGGACAATGAAATGGAAACTGGTGGAAACCCTAAACCCTAAACACCAAACCCCCAAACCCTCAACCCTTGTGATCCGCAATCATATACAGGGCTTAGGGTTTTACATGACAAGCGGATATTAGCCACGCCAACCTGACCTCTCAACTTATATAGAAGTAGATAGACTATGGGATATATGGAGATCTTATTACAATATAACCAATGCCATATTCTATCTACTTAAGGGGGACTATAGTCATATGATGGTTGCAGGGTCCTAGTTTCAAAAACAGGTTTACCTTATGGGTGAAAGCACCTGATAATCATATACTTACCCAAAACCTATACTGTATAGTTACTATTACCCCAACCTAAGTACCTAATTCTTGGGTACTTGGACCCTCTGGGTTCTTGGCTTGGGTTGGGCAACCAAAAAGCTCTTAAAACTCTTATGGAAGAGTAGGAGCTGTCGAAGACTTACATTTCGGGCTCCAGGATTTAGGCCCGGCCGGGTTTGGAGACCTACTCTACCTCCCCCAAGCTGCAAGTTGGTGGAATCTGTCGCCGAAGTCAAACGTTTTGGGTGGGCCACGGCTGTTCAGAGCAGCACCCAACACCGAAGCGGGAGTCGGTAGTGGATGGCAATTTAGGTTGACGGTGTAGGGCATACTACCACCCCTGAAGGCGTGAAGGCGGACTCTTCCGTGGTACAGCCGGAAGAATGGGCCTGGAATTGCAATCAATTTATAAGTACTATTTCTGAAAGGCCCCATGTCTTCGGATTCTAGAGATGCGATTCCAAATCCATCACCTAGTCTCCAGACCCTCAGAGCCCCCATGACTCAACCCCATCGGCTTCTTAATGCCAAGAAATTTAGGGTTAGACCATTAGGTTTGTAACCTGGATTGCAGGATCCTTTGAGGGAACCCTGGGAACTATGTAGCTTCCTACAATGCGTACGAACTTGCGGGTACAACCTGCAACCATCAACCCTAAGCCATACAAGCCTTGAGAAGTCCCCATCCCCCAGAACCATACCCATCTCGTGAGCCCTACACCCTACCCTCTCGGAAACTAATATGGAAATCCAAAAAAGGCCCTATGAAGACTACAGTCCCTGTAAATGGGGGCTATTTGGGTGGCGTGTAAACCCTGAAGCTTTAGAATTTAACGTTAAGGTGTAGGGTTCAAGATTTACGGATTGCGCGACTCCGAATCGTGAATGTCCCTGTCATTTCTACGTCACCCGAATACGGGTACGGTTTAGGGTTTAGGGGGCTTCCTAAATGGGGCCCTCTTTGGGAGCCCCTAGTAGGGAATGCAAATACAATTTTTGCAATACTAACCTTGGTACATGAGCTAAGATCAAAACTCCTACTATCCACCTTAGTAAGCCCTATAATAGTCCCCTATATAATCCCCTATATGAACCCCTTGAAGGAGTTTAGACTATAGCTCCAAAACAAAAGCCTTTTACCCCTGCGGTTGTACCAACTTAGGGTCCAAACACCCGAGCCTAAAGCAGGTTTTAGGGTTTAGGGTCCAGGGTTTAAGGTGCTTATCCCCACCCTAAGCCCTGAACACTTAACCATCCCAAAACTAGAAATGCATAGATCTGAACTCCATGTACGGGCTAAATGCTGATTGTTGTACGGCCCTATGAACCCACAAGCCCTGAACCCTTGTTTTGAAGGACCTCAGGGTTGGCTAAGATGCAATGCAGGGACAATGGAAAATAACATGGAAACTACTAGGGTACAAGGGTTATATTAGGATTCTCTTAGGATTATGTTAGGGTTGTATTGCTTCTCCTCTGCTTGGAGGGTCAGGGCAACTTGGTAAGTAGGTTAATATTGGGAATAACTGCGGTTCTGGTATGGCTGAAAGAAGTTACAAGTATGATGACTAAATCCCCCTGATCCTCCAAGCATCCCCTGAATAAGCACGGGAGAACCACATTGAAACCTGATACGAGTAACCCTTTTCCAAAGGTACCCCTAATTTTGGGAAACTCCCTCAGCCACTAAACTGGTCCGAGGCGCGGCATTTGGATTCGCCTGTCCCCATGGCTAAGCAGTGACGGGGCAGCGCGACACAGGATGGAAGAAATCTTGCGACACTTAGCACCATAGCGCGGCATTTTTTGGGGTGTTTATACAGTTATCCCCCAAGTTTGCACGACCCCGGGTACAATTTATAATGTCAGCTGGTTATTAGGACTATAGATAGCA